TGCAGAGTATCTTGAAGGTCAACAGATCTAGGTTCTTCTATCAAATCAGGATAAGGAAGCAAGTTTTAGGGTGGAGAGCCCTCAGTGAAAACTGATGAGGCATAACCCAGAAGTGGGTCATGAGGTGGCTGCTGGTGAATCACCCTCCAGAGGCTGATAGAAGCAAAATCTTTGGGTTTCTAGGACACAGCAGGAACCTAGGGAGTGAATGAAATAATAACTCTCTCCTTGCTGCCTCAGCCCCTGCCTTCCCTCCGCCCCCCACAGCCACTACCCGATCCCAGGATAGCTCCCAGTCCCCAGCCTAGGATGACCAGATATCCCGATTTTATACGGACAGTCACGATTTTTGAGTCTTTTTCTTATATAGGCTCCTATTACCCCCTACCCCCGTCCCAATTTTTCACACTTGCTGGCGGTCACCCTACCTCAGCCTGTCTCCCCACCATCCCCACCCCCATTCCTCCTGCTCCACTGCCAAGTCCTGTGTAGGCAATCCAAGCAACACTTCAAGAGGCTGTGGAGTCATCTTCACAGCATCTTGGACCAGCATTGCCCCAGAGCTGGGCACTGTGCAGGTGGAGGAAACAGAGCAAGGGCAAGCCCCATATCACCCATGCCCCCCATATACACAACATTATGCCAGATCCAATGAACATGTGGCTATTAGTGATACCTCCTACTGATATTAATAGATATTGTCCCTATCAAAGGCAGCACTTGGCACACATTGCAGTCATACACACACAAAAAAGGACTAAATTTTGCCTTCTGAGACACCCCATCTTTCAGAGGTGAGAGCATAATTTCAGCTGGCATAGTTTAGTGGGCAAGGGGGCATTTGGGGGAAATGTATGATTTCTCATGGAAAACATCCACATTTTCATTAGGTAGAATTAAAATATATAATGGATATAAACCCCCATGCTTCAGGGCATAAAGCATCCACTTCCTAACTTCCACTGGAAAGAACCCAGTCCCCTAAAGATTTCTTACATCTCTGTAGCATCCGTTACTGGCCAATATCAGACAAAAGATGGACTAGTGCCCAGAACTAATATGGGAATTTTTATGTTCTGAAAACACTATTCATCTAAAACTCATAGGAGGAGGCTATTAATAAGACTGGGAGTTTTCAGCTTGCAAAAGAGACAACTAAGGGGGGATATGATAGACGTCTATAAAATCATGACTGGTGTGGAGAAAGTAAATAAGGAAGTGTTATTTACTCCTTCTCATAACACAAGAACTAGGGGGTCACCAAACAAAATTAATAGGCAGCAGATTTAAAAGAAAATGAAGTATTTTTTCACACAATGCACAGTCAACCTGTGGAACTCCTTGCCAGAGGATGTTGTGAAGGCCAAGACTATAACAGGGTTCAAAAAAGAACTAGATAAGTTCATGGAGGATATTAGCCAGGATGAACAGGGATGATGTCCCTAGCCTCTGTTTGCCAGAAGCTGGGAATGGGCGACATGAGATGGATCACTTAATGACTTGTTCTGTTCATTCTCTCTGGGGCACCTGGCATTGGCCACTGTTGGAAGACAGGATACTGGGATAGATGGACCTTTGATCTAACCCAATATGGCCATTCTTATGTTCTTATGGCAGCCGTTCCATACCGCTAATCATTTTTGTTGCCCTTTCTGAACCTTTTCCAATTCCAATATATCTTTGAGATGGGGCGACCACATCTGCATGCAGTATTCAAGATGTGGGCATATCATGGATTTATATAGAGGCAATATGATATTTTCTATCTTATCTATCCCTTTCTTAATGATTCCCAACATTCTGTTCACTTTTTTGACTGCCGCTGCACATTGAGTGGACGTTTTCAGAGAACTATCCAAGATCTCTTTCTTGAGTGGTAACAGCTAGGTTAGACCCCATCATTTTATATGCAAAGTTGGGATTACGTTTTCCAATGTGCATTACTTTGCATTTATCAACATTGAATTTCATCTGCCATTTTGTTGCCCAGTCACCCAGTTTTGAGAGATACTTTTGTAGCTCTTCCCAGTCTGCCTGGGTCTTAACTATCTTGTCTAGTTTTGTATCATCTTCAAATTTTGCCACCTCACTATGTACCCCTTTTTACAGATCATTTATGAATATGTTGAATAGGACTGGGCCCAGTACAGACCACTGGTACAGTACAGACACCACTATTTACCTCTCTCCATTCTGAAAACTGACCATTTATTCCTACCCTTTGTTTCCTATCTTTTAACCAGTTACCAATCCATGAGAGGACCTTCTCGCTTATCCCATGACCACTTACTTTGCTTAAGAGCCTTTGGTGAGGGACCTTGTCAAAGGCTTTCTGAAAATCTAAGTACCCTATACCACTGGATCCCCCTTGTCCACATGCTTGCTGACCCCCTCAAAGAATTCTAGTAGATTTGTGAGGCATGATTTCCCTTTTCAAAAACCATGTTGATTCTTCCCCAACAAATTATGTTCACGTATGTATCTGACAATTTTGTTCTTTACTATAGTTTCAAACAGTTTGCCTGGTACTGAAGTCAGGCTTACGGGCCTGTAATTGCCAGGATCACCTCTGGAGACCTTTTTAAAAATTGGCAGCTGCGGGAGGGATAGCTCAGTGGTTTGAGATTTGGCCTGCTAAACCTGGGGTTATGAGCTCAATCCTTGAGGGGACCACTTAGGGATCTGGGGCAAAAATCAGTACTTGGTCCTCCTAGTGAAGGCAGGGGTCTAGACTCAATGACCTTTCAGGATCCCTTCCAGTTCTATGAGATAGGTATATCTCTATATTTTTATTAGCTATCCTCCAGTCATTTGGTTCAAAAGTTGATTTAAATGATGGGTAACAGACTACAGTTAGTAGTTCTCCAATTTCACATTTGAGTACAGGTTTCACCAGGAAGGTGTAGGGCTGTAATAGCCTCCTGGGTCTGTGCACACAGCTTAGAACAAGGTCAAGACCTGCTGAAGTAGGCTAGGAAGTGTGGGAAACTCGTGTATTGGCACAGTCCTCTTGTGGACCTTTGTGACAAGTAGCTGTGCAACCTCTTCATGCCCCCTGTGATCTGATCATCTTCAGAGCTCCTAGGAAGTTCCTGTCTGCAGGACTAATGTGCTTGAGTGGCACTCGGGGTTTCGTGCAATGGGAAGTTTGGGTACACAAGGAGAATAGGATCAGACCAGCAGCTGCACACATGTCTCTAGCTTGCACTGGCCCCTCCCCTGGTCTCCCATGTATGTGGGCACCTGTATAGGTGAAGTCAGTTTGCATTCTTGGATGTGAGGTTTATACACAAGTTGTGTGCCTGAGTTTGCAACTCTGTCCTTGGAGCTATATTGCACCTGCCCGTACTGTATTTCCTTTGAAGGTTTGTTTCTCCTCTCCTTGCCTGAAAAACCACAGGGTGGTGGCAGTGTCCTTCCTACTTTGTTTAGAAAACAGATTAGGAAATATGTGGAAATTTAATATTTTGGCTTAAATCCACATATTGTTGAAAATGTTCGGTTGAGCTGAGAATAAGCAAGAGTTGCACTTTAGCAGCTCTTTCAGGCAACACCCCCGGGTGGAATAGCAATGGCAGGGAAGCCCCGAGTCCCGCTGTTCCGGTTTTGATGGGGAGGAGGGAAGCGGGAAGGAAAAGCACGGATTGTTTGCAGTAGCCCTGGTCTCCTTCTCCCCTGAGCTCTGAACTCAGAGGGGAGATGATAACTTGAGCAACGTGGGCTGCCAGCTTCTTCGCGTTTGCTCCTGGGCGATAAAGTGATGTTCCCGGTTGGTGGTGCCTGAGGAGAGAGCAAGGATTTCGGAGGTACAAACGGGCTATCGTTTGCCCTCTCCCCGCGGCCACGAGCTTGTTTGTTCTTTGAGCATGGTCATCCTGCAAACCCGGCTCCGCTCTGGGAAGGGGAAGAGCTCAGCGCGCGTTCCCAGGCTGGGTATCCGGCAGGTTCCGGGGCAGGAGAGGCAGAGAAGCTGCATCCCTTCGGCTCGGGGGCGCCGGCTTGCCCTGGGGCAGTGCGCGTGCTGCGGAGCTGGCCGCTGGGGTTAGCAGTCTGTGGCCGGCATCGCTGGCGGGCGCGGCGGTTTCGCACCGTGCGTGCGTGTCGCGCAGGCCCTGGGGTGCCGGCGGGCTGTGCAGAGAACGGGCGGAGGCGGCCGGAGGGTGTGGGAGGTTGGGGCTGAGAAGGTGGGGCGGGGGGTGCGCGCGCGCAGCGGGTGGCACGGGACGGGGGCGGGCTGTGTGGGGCTGGGGCGGTGCAAGGCGGGTTGTGTTCTCTTGTGTAGAGGGTGGGGTTGTGAGCACGGTGGGGGGGAGGGTGCTGCCGCTGCACTAGGGAGAAGGTGACGTCGTGTACAGAGAGGTGTCGGGGGAGTGCAGAGGGATGCTGAGTTCAGGGGTCTCTTTAGAGGGTGGGGTAATGCAGAGGATGGGGTCATATCTGGGTCGTGCAGAGGGTGCGGGTATGGAGAGGTGCTGCGGAGCGTTGGGAGGCATGTGGGGGTGCCGGGGGAATCTATGCACTGGATGGGGTATTATGTGAGTTGGGCGGGAGGGGCGGTGCAGAGGATGGGTGGTGCACATGGGTTGTGCAGAGAGCGGGGGAGGGTGGTATACAGGCAGTGAAGGGGGCGGTGCAGAGAGCGGGTGGGGTTGTATAGAGGTTGTGCAGAGGGCGGGTGGTCTGTGGGGGGTGCAGGAGGAAGTGGTGAGGTGCATGTGGTAGTAGTGTGGGATGCGCAGAGGGGGAGGAGAGGCTGTGCCCAGGGTAGGTGTGGCAGCCCGTTGGCTGGGTGGAGGTGGAGTGGTGAATGGGCGGTGCTGCCCCCTGCTCCAGCCTGTTTCTGCTATTTGCTCTCTGGTTTGAGGTCGCCTGCAGCCTGAGTCTACCCCAGGCCATTATTTAAATGCCTTTCCCTCGTGCCTGGGAGCTCAGTAGCCCGAGATATCCAGGGCTGATGATCAGTGCTCCAGTCCTTCAAACTCCACCGATCACAGGGGATTATGAACTCTTTTGGGCAGCAGCCCGCAGATCCACAGTCGGCCCCCCTCCAGCATCCCAATGCACAGGATTTACTGGACATGGCGGTGTACTGTGATAACCTAATGTACCCGCAAAACCTGCACCATCATCACCACCCACAGAGGCCATCAGCTCATCCAGCAGGCTATGGGCTGAGCGAATATAGCCCCCCAGCAGCGAACCCCTACCTCTGGATCAATGGACCTGCCATCAACTCGTCTCCTTATCTCTCTGGGACTAATGGGGCTTCTTTCATCCCCTCAGGTTATGGGACCAACCAGAGACAGTTCCTGGCCCCTGCATCAGGCTTTGCAGGAGCAGATCTCAGCTGGTTGTCTCTCTCCAGCCAGCAGGAGTTTTTTAAAATGGTGAGGCCCCCCTACTCCTACTCGGCTCTGATAGCTATGGCCATCCAAAACGCTCCGGAGAAGAAGTTGACCTTGAGTCAGATTTACCAGTACGTGGCCGAAAACTTCCCTTTTTACAAGAAGAGCAAAGCTGGCTGGCAGAACTCCATCAGGCACAACCTGTCCCTCAACGACTGCTTTAAGAAAGTCCCCAGGGATGAAGACGATCCAGGTAAGGAAAAACCCATTCTTCTCCTAAGTGGGAGCACGTTGCATACAGGTACCGTGTAAAGTCACACCCACGCTGGCATTTGCAAATGACCAGCTCCCGGGCCCAGTGTAAAATGCTAGTATTATTTATCAAGGACTAAAATAAAAGCACAGCGCACTGAAGGGGAAGTAGAGACGCTTTTGGATGCTAAACTTTGGGCCTGCCTAACATTAGCACGCTCACTGTAAACGCAAAATACCAGCTTGTGTTGGGGGGTGCGTGGCTTGTTACCCGACTGTTAACCATTGCAAAGGTCGCTGTAGCCATGGGGAAGGGGATTGGCGACTGCATCTCTGGGATTGTAACATAAACTGGGAGCGTGAGCTAAAGGCGCAGGCAGTGTTCTGCTCTCCTGCCCTGTGAAACGATCGGTCAGGCATTGACTAATGGGGCAAAGCCCTTGCCGAGCGGTACCCTCCTCCCCTGAGCCCACGTGCTGTTCATTTATTCATAGGGAAAGGCAATTACTGGACCCTAGACCCGAACTGCGAGAAAATGTTCGACAACGGCAATTTTCGAAGGAAGAGGAAAAGGCGATCGGACGCTCCTGGGTCCAGCGCCCCAGGAGTGCCTGACAAAGCGGAAGACAAGAGCGGCGGTGCCTTGAAGTCTCCAAACGCCTCCAGCCTGATGGGCCTGGGCTCCCCTGCACCGCAGAACTCTCCCGGCTCCGGGAGCGGCCCCAAATCCTCCCCCACGCCAGCGCTCGAACGGAGCCCGTGTTTCTCCAGCTTCGCCTCCAACATGCAGGCCCTTGTCAATGGGAACCATGGCTTCGCCAGGCAGCTCTCGGGAGGGCTGGCGGGCGAGTTTTCACACGGAAGGCAAGATGTGCCTGCTCTGAGTTCGTGCTCCACTCCCAGCAGCGGCACTGTCCAGAACCCCGAACTGAGTCCGCCGGACCACTCGAGAATGAACTACTGTGCCAGCGGCCAGCAAAGCGGGCTCAGCATCCCCCTCATTAACAACTTCAGCGTCAATCATCTGATTTATAGCAGGGACGGGACAGAAGTTTGAATTGACTGTGAAATAACTTCGGTGCAAATCACAGAAGCCATGTTCTGTGCCTAGAAGAAGTTTGTATATACCATGGTACTCAAAACAGTCTCTTGTTAGTTTTGGACACTGTATTATTGTGCCTTAGAACACACACACACACGTATATTAAACGTCTATAGACTGTATTTGATTGAGGTGTCCCCACACCCAGAATCCTATTCAGTAGATTGTTTACAGTATTGATACTATGCATACAGATCTAGACGATTGACCTTAACAAAATGCACTAATACACAAGATAAGAATATTTTTGTATTATATATGATATATATTATATAATGGTTCTGTACAGCTGTTAGAATAAAGTAAATCTTTTTTAAAAATAGAGATGAGAGCACCTAGACTTGACATTCCAGTGTAATGTGTTGCTGATCTATGCAATCTTAGGTAACAAAAAGCTCCCCAATCGTGGTTGGTTTGTTTTTTTAAAATTCTAAAGTAATGCAAAACTATTTTCTTCCTTTCTAAGTTTTATGGAATTATACCATTTTGCCATCTAATACTTAACATTAAAATGGCTTTTCCTTACAGATGACAGTGAGGTTTATTTCTTCTTTCAGGTTTTTCCGTTTAGAAAATACCAAAACGAAGCTCCTATAAGCTTGGTATAATTGAGATATTGGACACACTATATGTATGGTATCCATTTTATTCTTCTCCAGACTTTAACAGCATGACAAGAGTTTGGTTTAAACAAACGGGTGCCTTCTAAAACTAAAATAATGACTACAAATAATTATCATGGGGAATTTAACACAGAATTGAAGCCATTTAACTGCGAAGTTGTTCTCCAGTGCTTTATAACAATGTCAGGTAAACCGTATTATTGCCTGATACTGATCTTGGAAGTCTGGTGTCTGTCATCGAAGTTAACATTTGTTCTGAAACCTGTTGAACAGATAAAGGCTTTCGATCAGATAGGATGGGGGTGAATGGAGCGGAATACAGCGCGCTGTCCTGGGATGCAGCAGCTTTGGTATCAAACAAACGCTCGTGCGAATAACTGGGAAAGACTTTCAGGTCTGGTAGGAAGGTCATTCGGAATCGGAACGTCAAATACCTGAGATTAAACCGATTTTTCGAAAAAGACAAAATGGAGGTTAAGGCCCCCCAAAAGGAGAAAAATATCACCTTAATGCGGCTATTGGAAACGCCATTTCTAATTCAGTCCTTAATGAGGGGTTTTGCTTCAGATTGGGCCTTTATTCAGGGAACCGGCCATGACATTGATTTGTCAAACATAAAAAATGACTTGTAAATACATCTGAATTGGGGCAGATCCTCAACCAGTTTATACCAGCTGAGGATCCGTCCTTCTGACTATACTATAGTCATTAAATGTTTGCTTTATTAAAAAAAAAAAACCAATCCGATCGCAGTAATGTTCCTTCCACTTAAATCTCTCTCAAGGCGCACGTGGACTTGAAGGAGCACAGAGCCAAGGAACCATTCTTGGTCTAACGCGAGTCTAACTGCAAATTGTTTACCATGGCTGCAAGCGCTAGGAAGATAGTTACAGCTGTGGAGAGTTCCCCTGCAGCAAGGAAAACGTACAACCTACTGCAATGTGTATGAAGGTCTAAAGGAGACTTCACTAGTGGAAGGATCTGTGTTAAGTAAATCGAGTATCTCTTAATACCTAGCTTGACAGAGTAATATTTTAGGACGATAATCGGCCACTCCAGATGTGCCAAAGGGGGAGAAAGAGAATCATATCTTACGCTGTGAAAATATTTTTGATACTTTAGCACCAGGTGTTTTTCTTCATTTCTACTTGTTGTTCATTCCCCTCTACCGTAATGACCCACAAATATCCTGTAAGCACTGGTTTACAACGAACTGGCATTTAAAATATTGGCCTTCAAAGAATTGGACCCAGCTAGGATTTCAGCAGGTTAAAAGTGAGTCTTGTCTTTCTACCTTGCAGAGGTTTAAATGAAGGTTTGAATATACAAAGATGTCAAAGCTGAACTTGTAATTTGGTGTCGGTTAGAACGCGTTTTAAGTGACTGCTTAACTTCAAATAGAGCCTGGCTGACTGAGGCATAAACTGTGCCTCCATTGTTGAAATAAACCCAGCCATGAGCAGAGCCCGCAGTCCTTATTTTGTTTTACAGGCCGTAAAATCCGTTCCCTTGTTTTCACACTGTGGTACTATCAGCAGGTTCGCGTGTTGAGCGTCCAATCTTCAGGACCGTTTGTAAATAAACTCTTTTATTTTTTCAAACACAAAAGATCATCTTTGTGTCAGCCCATGGAGCTGACAATAATTTATATGAAGAATTTCAGATTTAATCGAGCGTCCAAAATTAATCCGGATCCCCGCTGCGGAGCTCTTTAATTACTAGTTTCCTGAATGCTAACCTCTTCAACGATCTTTTTTTTTTCATTTCTTTTTTTCCCCTTGAGGCGGGTGGAGGGTAGAAATCTAAAGGACAATCCCTGTTCTCCCACCCCAACTATGTAGACTTCCAAAGTTCTTCGATCTTGTATCACGCTTTTCCCTGTGAGTCATTGCTTAAGAAGGATAGACTTTTGTAACTTAATTGCCAGTTTGGAGGGGGAAAAGCTTTATTGCTCAGTATTAAAATTAAATCAATGGAAGGGAGTTATCTGAGACAGGGAAGCTTGCAGGATATTAGTTTACCATTTGGGGTAGTCTTATCAAAAACTAACGCCAACAAACTTTTCTCCTAGGTATGCCTGGTGCTTCAATATGTCTGATGTGGGATAGTACTTGCGGGAGATATATTAAAAGAGAATGATAATTATTGCTTTAAAAGGCCATGTTCTAATTTGTTCTTTTCTAAGTGCTAACTGGAGAAAAGACTCCGAAGTTATAAATACTTTTATAATGTAATATAAGAAGCTTTAAACAACTAGAAAGCTAAATCTGACATTGCAGATTTTAGCTACCAAAGTTCAAACTTCTAAATCACTTGGTTGCTTGTCAATTACATAAAGCTGGCTCAGAGCAATGGCTCTAATTAGTGAGAGGGGAGTGTTTGGGCAAAAGTTCAGGTTAAGTTTGTACTTTTTATTAAATATTTGATAGGAATCAAGATCGGTTTGGCTAATACTACTCACTTAACTTCTTACTGCCTGGTACCTTTTTCCTCTTTGTTTTAGATCGTGCTTTGAAGGTCTGTGAGTTTGAATAGCAAACAATATTATGTATTACATAATCTGTTAAAATGTTTTGGAGGCTCCACCTCCACCCCTGGCACATGATAAAAATATAGGTATGGTAAAAGAAAAAGCTGGATACATTACTGATGTAACTTGGATTCACTTGTTGAAAGATATGATGGGAAATGTTTTGGTTTTTGAAGCAGCAAGCATAAACTGTACTACAACCAAACCTAAGAGTTTAAGACTATGTTGGAGTGTGTGTTTCCAGAAAAGAGGAGTTAAATGTGCAAGATTTATGTGTAAGGCTTTTTCTAGCTAGACAGATGTTTTAGAAGAGAATCCAACTCTAAAACAGGCCTAGAATAAGACTTAACTGTAGCTATAGCATTTGACCTGTGTCGAACTGCAGTCTTGTAAATAACGTATTATTTAATGGAGCAGTTGCGAATGCTGTATATGAGAAAAATTGCTATTTCAAAGGCTGGCCATCAAAATAGAGCAAACATAATCCCTGTATTTTCTATTTCTAAAACTGTCAATTAAATACAATATTTCCCGTCTAATCGCTAAATTTATTTTTACATGGTCAGAATAAAACACAATGCTTCAAAATATTGTTTCATAGCGTTTCAAAACAGTAGCAATTGGCTGTAACACTGACGTTATTTGTTTGCAGTACGTTTAACTTTAGTTGCTTCCTTATAAAATGCTGGTGAACACGGTAAGTAATTTTCAGAATAAAGTGGAGAGACAAACTTGTAATTTGACAAATTCCTGTTGCTAAATTTCTTGCAGCAAACGGATCAAGAGAGATACATTAAGCTATAAAATCTGCTTTTAGGTTCTGAAACACACTGATTAAAGTAAACTGCGTTTTATTAGGAAGAACAAAGAAACAACGCCTAATTTATAATTAAACACAGATAATACAAGGCAGGAGATGGACAGGGGTTTGGGGAACACAGCCCTACTCCAGATAAATGCCTGTTTGTTTTTTATAAGAGACATGATGTGCTGACATCGAAGCAAGTAAATAAAGTAAAACACCTTATAATTGGTTATAATTGAACGCATTCTTTCCATCTGCGGTCAGGAGTAAAGTGAAATTGACATGAGTCCCACAAACAAGTTGCGTGCAAGCAGCCGCCGTGCAGAGCCAAAGAACTCCCCCTGAGATAGACTGAAGACGCTGTGACCTCAGAGCTGGGAAGCAAATTATATCACTCAAACCACATTTTCTTCTGCTGCAGGATTACAGGGATCCGGATCCAGCTATATTGACCGAGTGAGGTATTTTCACCTCGGGGCAATTTACATCGGGGTAAAGAGTAACATTTACAGCCCCCCTGAAAACACTCAGCAAAACTGGAATAGGAGATTCCGCTTCGCTATAGGTGTCTAGCCGTTTTCGACTATGGACATTCTATGTCTGTTTGTCGTAGACCGTGAGTCGGATCCTTCATCCGCTAAAATCCGGAGGAATTTGGGCATTGACTTCAGCGAGAGCAGAATCTGGATCCCTTTCCCGGATCTTACACTGAGTCCGTGAGAGCATGTCAAATGTCTAGGAAAACTAGCCTTCTGTCTATTTATAAACCGTGCATCATTTCAGAGAGATCGGGAGAAAAGTTTATTTGTAAATACAGATCAGTCTAAACTATGCGGTGAAGTTGTAATTCCTTTAAGTAAACGCATCTGTTCCGGGAAGAATTCTGTCAGCAGGGGGGCAAAGGGTATACTTGCTGATTTTAGTGAAAACGTATAAATATATGCGGTTGTGTATAAGCAACCCTCGGGTTTTTTTCCCTGCCTAGCCGACTGAAACA